GGGGGGGGGGGGGCAGGGCGTGGCCTCCAGGGCCCCTCCCTCCCCTTACTGGTGAATCTCGTTCTCTATGAGGCTGTCCTCGCAAGACTGGAAGTCTGTGTCCGTGAGGCCGTCAGGCTGCATCAGCAGCTCCTCATCTTGGGACGAGGATGACGGGGGCTCGTCCCCCGAGTTCCCAGGAACCCCATCCCCATCCCCCTCTGAGTCCTGCAGCACCTGAGCGATGTATTTCTGAAGGGGAACAGGAGTGAAGGAGAAGAGGGGTGTGAGGGTGGACAGCTGCCCCTTGTGAGGAGGGGGTGATGGGGAGTCACGGGGCCTGAAGGGGGAGGGGGAGCAGTATCCTATGCCCAGGGGAGGTGGGCAGCCCCCAGTGAAGCCAGGTCTCTCCCTGCCCATTCCCCAGTCCATGGGGTCTATAACAGGCCTTGTTTCTGGAGGATTGTGGGACACCCAGCTTTGGGACTGAGTCTGAGGTCCCTTCCACCCTCTGCCATGGCACAGGACACTCACCGCAGATTTGGGGACAGCGGCAACAGTGGGAGGCCGTCCATTGCTTCTGGAGTCCGCGGTATCTGTCTCTGTGTGCTCAATCTTGAGGGGCCCAGAATGAGTCAGGGGGTGGGCAGAATGCCCTTGCCCTCAGCTGCAATCATGACCCCACACCCTTCCGGCACCCCTGTTGCTCCTGCCCTCAGATCCCAACCACCCCCCTGGCCTTCTGTATCCCCTTGAGCTTCTGCCCTCAGCCATCCCCCAACCCCCCTTGCCCCACACCTTGTAGTTGTGGGCACTGAGGTATTTGAAGTGTCCGAAGCAGACGTGGCAGAGACAGATGACAATGGTGATAACCAGGACCACAAATGTGAACATGGACGTGGGGGCTAGGAACCCTAGTATGGGGGAGGGGCAAAAAGCGGGGCTGCTATTTCTCCCCTGGGCTCCCCTCCGAGAGGCCCACCATTCCACTTTGCTACCTTCTGAATGCAACCCCACACTTCCGCGTGCTGCGGCCTCTCCCAGTCACCTTGTCGGTGCCCACCAGCCATCATGGACTTCCCCCCCTCCCCTCCCCACCGGGGCCTGCTTCTGCCTTGACTCTGGAGACGTCCCCTCTGCCCCCACCCCACCTCCCTGAGAGGGGGCCCTCACCCGTGCGCATGGTGGAGAAGAAAAGCAGCCAGAAGAGGCAGAGGATGGGTGCGGCCACCACCTGGTTCACAGCCCCCGAGTGAATCTTCTTGTCCAGCTTGGCGGGCAGGTAGGCGTAGTAGAGATTGTACCTGTCTACCAGGTGCTTCAGCAGCATGTACATGAGCCCTGGGGGAAGCCACATGGGCCCTGACCTCGGAACCAGTGCTGCCAGACTTCCGAGTGTCTGTCACAGGTTGTCCCAGTCCTCCTGAGCTCGCTGAAGGGCTGGCTTCCCTTGTCTGCCCCAGCCCCATACAGGATCGTGCCCCAGGCCCCCAGCAGTACCAGAAAACCTCCGCTTCCTCCGCTTCAGCCCCTCGATTCTGTAGCGCCTCACTAGCAATTCTATTAGAAATCTATTCATTTGGGTCAATGCGCATCCTCTTAAAACCTACACCGTTTCTTCTACCCCTGTTCCTAAACGTGAGTATAAATTCAGTGGTAAGTTCTATTTTCCTGGAGGCTGAGGGAATGGGAACTTTCGAACAAGGACAAGAAGGTTAGTTTGGAGCCTTCAATATCCAGGGAGGGTGGTTAAGGGGTTGGGATGTTATCAGGGGGGATATAAAGACCACACTAGTGGGGGCAAGAGTTGAAAACTTGGCTAAATTTCAGAAGGTAGAGGGACTTGCCTAAGTCACATAGCTCAGCTATAGCAGGGCATCTCCACAAGTGGCAAGGACCCCCCCCCACCCTGCAATCCAAAGGTCTTTCCTTGAGTTTATAGGGCTGTGTACAAGTACACCCATGGATCCTGTGTAGAAGTGTGTTTCTCTGTGTGTGTACACCTTAGTGAGTATGTGATATATGTCCCAGTATATCCAGTTAAGGGAAAGCACTGGTGTGGGTGAGTATAGCCATGTTGGCGTGACTTTGCTCAGGGGTCCAGCATACCAGCTGGGTCCAGCCAGGGCTGAGATGGCTTTTCCCCTCCTCCCCCCAGACCAGGCCCCAGACTGAGCCAGGGACCGGGCGGGAGGCCTGAGGGGCCGGTCTCCCAGCCGGGGCCCTGTCCACTCGGGGTGGCCTGCCTTACTAGAGTGGAGCCGGTGAGGTCCTGGGTCCCCCCGAGCAGGGCCCAGGTCCCGGCGCGGCGGTGCCTACCGAAGGGCACGATGATGGGGCAGGTGATACTGTAGGTCATGACCACCGTGAAGACGCACATCATCCAGGCGTAGGCTGCGCCAAACTGGAACTCGTAGGCCTGATGCTGGGGGGGAGATGGGCAGGAGGGTGGCTCAGGGAGGGGAGGGACATACTGGAGGGGCATAGGACAGGTGGGAGGGGAGAGGGGGCCAGGAAAGAAGCCGCGGGGAAAAGGAACCCCATGTCCAGGATAAGGAAGGGCAAAGCAGATGGAAAGAGGGGTTGTGGCTGAGGAGGTCAGGGTGGGTAGTTACAGGACATGAGGAAGGGCCTTCGAGGGATCAGGGGCTGGCGAGGGGGGGGGGCTTGGGAATGGGATGCCCTCCTGTGGGGTTAGGGCCCAGGGACCCTAGGTGTAGGGACCCGGACCTCCCCCAACTCCCATCACAGAACACTAGACTGTCAGAACTGGCCAGGGCCTTCAGGGTTACCTATGTCAATTCATCGCTGTAAATATGGGAGAACTGAGGCCCAGATGGGAAGGGGATAGTCCAGGGCCATGGAACTGGGCTCCCCAAGTCCCAGCACCCTTGGGCTCCACGCCCTAGCACGCTGCCGCTGTTTCTAGTTGGGCCCACCAGAGGGCGCTGTGCGAGCCGCTGCGGCCCAGACGGCCGTACCCGCTTCACGTTGCGCCTCTCGGCGGCTGAGCGCGCCAGGCAGAGCCGGATCATGTACATGAGCAGGCCCGGGATGCGCAGCAGGTCCATGGCGTTGCCGATAAAGGCTGAAGCAATGACGTAGTTCACGAAGAAGGCGCCGTTGTCCGGCAGGAACACGCACCTGCGGGCACCAGGTGCTCCAGCACTGCACTCTTGGGGACTTGGTGGTTGCCTGCCCACTGCCAGCATGACAGCGCACCACACTTGCACCCCCAACATGCCTTGTAGACACCCATGTGTCCCCAGCTCAGCCCTCAAGCACCTGTGCCCCAGCCCCCCTAGAATGTAAGCCCCAGAGGCAGGTACCAGAGTGTCAACAGATACCCCAACACCCTCAATATGCGCCAACAGGATCTGACAGTGTAAGCCCAGAGGCACCCTGAGAACTTGTGCCCCATAAAGACTCATGGAGAGTGCTCAAGACCCCTAAGGCCACCAGTGTTCAGGGTCTGGCTGCCGGAGATCTCCATAGACAACCCCATGAGACTTCCAAAGACCGGAGGGTGTGAGCTCCAGAAACATCCAGAAGGCTTCCTTCCTTAGACCTTAACCCAGAGTTACCCCAGAGTATGAGCCTCTGTAACCTCCAAGACACAAGCATCAGAGACTCTCCCCCAGAAATCTTCAGAGCGGGGAGCCCAGGAACCTTTGTCAATGCTTGTGACACCCTAAGCGTGAGCCCAAGATTACCATAGATGGCCTAGCACAAGACTCCCAGAGCAAGACTCCAAATATTCAGCCATGGTACATGCCCCCTAAGACACCTTCGCAGCGATTCCCAGAGAAGGGAGATGCACCAGAAAGAATGCCAGCCACACCTCTGAACAGGAGCCTGAAACTTCAGACGTGTTCCCGGAACTTGTGCCCCGTAAGCACCCCAAAGTATGAACCCGAGTCCCCCAAAGTGTGGGCCCCAGAGACCCTCAGGGATACCTCTAGGACTCCCAAGCATTATCACAGTATGACCAAGGTTCCACTGCAGACACCAAACTTCCTGAGTGGCGTTCCAGACTCCCCGAGTTCATCCCAGAACACCAGCCTAGAGCCCTCATAGAATCCCCCAGAATGCAGGCCCCAAATACACCTTGAGGGTGACCTCGGAGTCCAGAGATGTTCCCAAAGAAACGGCTCCCACATAGACCCTGGGGACATCTCCCAGGTATACACCTGAGACATCCTGTGGGTCCTTTGGAGTGATTATGCCAGCCCTTGATGGAAGCCCCCCCCCTATTCTTCCCCACAGAAGGGGTGGGGTGCTTCGCTGCACCCTCCCATGGGGAAGGAAGTGTCTCCCAGGCATACCCACCCCCGCCATCCAGTCTCCTTTCTTGGGGGCCCCCCGGTCACTCACTCAAACCGAATAGCTGCCTCAGCCAAAAATTTCTTGTCAAAGAGCCAGCGGAAGAAGAGGTCCAGACTGGAGAGGAGGAGAGGTATGGTGGGGCGCTGGAATGGGGAGGGGAAGTCCCTGCCGAGAGCCTCTGCAGATGCCCTCTGTACATGGGGCCTTCGGCTTGGTAGGGGAGGTGGGAGCCTGAACTGCTCCCTCTCCCCAGCCTGCAACCTCCCCCCACCCCTGTCCCCGCCTCCCGCCTCCCGTCCCTTCCTCCAAAACGTACCTGCTCAGTCCCAGTGAGGGCAGGAGCAGCACCATGAAGATGAGGAAGGTGTAGCACTTGTGCATGGTGGTCCTGTTCTCCCCGGAGCTGGGGCAGAGGGGACAGGGGCAGAGGTCAGGTGGGCCAGGTCCCATTTTGCTCCCTCAGCCAATATAGTGTCCCGGGGAGGGGAGAGCGGGGGAGGGAGGGGCGCTTCCCAAGGTGAGGATGCTGGCATCATCTCTCCCTGCCAGCTCTAGGACCTCGGGAGCAGGAAGCCTGAATGGCAAAGGGCTGCCCAATGACATGGGTGTACCCCTAGGAAGCCAGAGCGAGGTGCCACGTGTGCAAAGGTGTCTCACCGTGTCCAGTGGGCTTCAAAGAAGGCAGAATAGTAGACGATGGTGGGGAGCAGGGCCGAGAAGCACCACAGCAGCAGGGTGGGGAAGAACTGGGTGATGATGGGGTTCTGCAGTGGGGCATGGGGGGATGTGTCAGGTGGGGGCAGTCTATTGCGCTCAGCTTGCTTTGCTTACCTGTCCCCTCCCCCACTGAGTTCTGGGCTTCAGGGCTCTCAAGGCCCCATGTCGAAAGTCCAGAACATCTTGAGGGCAAGGGTTGAGGATGGGGGCCAGGGCCATATGTACAACCCCAGGGTGAATAACATTAGTTAGCACCGGCTGAGCACCTACTCTGTGCCAAGCACTGATCACGTACTTTACATGCATCCATCCTCACAAAGATGTCACCCTATTTTATAGATGAGCAAACTGAGGCACAAAGCGATTCAATAGCTTAACCAGCTAGTGAGCAGTGGGGTGGGGATTTGAACCCAGGGAGTCTGGGTCTTATCTATTATGCTATTATGCTAACACAGTGATTTTCAAATGGTCTTTCTTTGAAATTTGAGGCTCCAAGGAGGTACATTGTGTGTGTGGCAGGAGGGGTGAGGAGAGACCAGGTAAAGTGGCCCTTACACTCTCCTGCTGTCTGAACAGCCATGCTTTTCCACATCGGGTTTCAAGGAAGATTCCTTTTGATAAAAGCATCAGACTCTAAGTTTGGAAGCCAATGATTTAGTCTGAACCTTCCATCCTTCCGTCGGGGAGAATGAGGGGTGAGAAGGGACTTATCTGAGGTCACAAGGTCAGTTAGGACTGGGCCTGGGCCCTCTTTCTTCCCTGGTGTCTCTCTAGGTGTGTGCACACCCAAGGGTGGCCTCTCATAGGGGAAGGTGGTGGGGAGCCCAAGGGAAATGCACAGAAGGGTTTGCAGCCCATGGTCTCATGGGTGCTTCTTGGTGGAGCCAGACTGGGCAGGGGGCATTCTGGTTTTCCCTGAGGAGGGATTCGGGGCCTGCTTTCCGTGTCTTGTGACACAGCATGGAGGGGTGAGGTGGGGCATGGCCTCACGTTGAGGTACTCCACGGGCTTGGTGACGTTGAACTTGTCCATGGTGGTGATGATGATGGCCGGAGTGGTGAGGAAGAAGAGGAGGATGAAGAGGACGACATTGATGACCAGGCAGCGCAGCCACCAGATGAAGCCGCGGATGGAAAGGTGTTCCCTGGAATGGCAGGGGAGGTGGTCACTCCAGGGACCAGACACCTGCCTGGTCCTCGGTGACACCTAGGACCTCCCTGCCCTCCCCTCTATTACTGGATGGAGCTCACCCAAGCCCCACAAAGCCTGCCTCTGCCATCCCCCTTTGCTCACCAGTAGATGTTCTGGGGGTCAGGGGCGTAGGACACGGTCCAGTTGGAGATGTGCAGGGACTCGCTGCAGGACGAGGAGCGTGGTTCCCCGCGGCAGGTGCAGCCCTGGCACTTACACACGTTAAAGTCCTTCAGGATGCTGGGGGGATGGACACCGGTTACTGAAGCACCAGCTACAGGGAACCCCACTGCCGTCAGTCAGCTGGCTGTGAGCCCAGGGACCTGGGAGCCCCAGCTGGTCACTGGAGGACTAGGGCCAGGGTGGGCAGGCCGGGCGGGGGCTCACATGGCGGTGATGGTCTCATTGTGGAAGGTGACAAAGGCCATGCCAAGAGGCTTCTCGTTCACCTTCTCCTTTTCCCGCTTGTACTCGTCCTTCAGTTTCTGTTCCAGCTTTGTGTAGTACTCGATGGCCTCCACCTGCCAGGGTGGGCAAGGCAGGCTCTGGGCAGAGAGCCGGCTTGGTGCCTGCAGCACCAGCCAGTACTAACCTGGAGCTTCCGACAGGCCAGGCAGTGCTTTAAGCTCTCTCTATCTCTCACAATAGTAGGTACAATTAGTCCCACCTCACAGATGAGGAAACAGGCACAGAGCAGTCAAGAAACTTCCCTAAAGTCACAGAGCCAGTAAATACAGCATAACACTGTACTCTTGGTTGACCTCTTCTGATTTGGGGTTTGAAAATTTGGTCACTGTAGGGATAGGGGACAACCCAACAGTGGGGATGGGGCTTCAAGGAATATAGGAACAGGTGGGAGCCCTCTGAGGGCGGGGCTGCATCCTGCCCCCGGCCCTGGCTCCGGCCCCGTCCTTGCCTCCTCCGGGAGTCTGTTTACCTTGGGGTGTGTGTGACCTGTCTGTCCAGGACCTGCCAACCCTTCCCCATACAATCAGGAGCACTGGGGCCCTGAGGTCTGAGCCAGGGCCGGGCACGCCCCATACCTGCTCACAGCCTCGAACCACGCAGCAGCAGAGGTGGCCACAGGGCTTGGGGTTGATCATGGTGGGGACATTCTCCTTGCTCTGGAGGTTTGTGAAGTACAGCTTTCCCCGCTCGGCCTTCTTTCTGCGGGACCCAGGTGCCCAATCACTCACTGCCCAGCTGGGCTGGATGGGAGGATGGGTAGGGAGCCTAACTCAAGGGTCATCTAGTCTTGGGTTCGTTTAGGATGCATGGTTCAGACATGTGCCCATCCCAGGGTCTCCCTAACCATCCCTTGAGAGCCACACAATCTTATAGTTTGGCCTCAATTTCTCATACTGCAGCTAAAGAAGGGTTTGTCCTCAGATGGGGTGGGGATGGTGGACCCCGGTACTCTTGCAGCCACCTCTAACCTCCAGGCTTTGCTCTCTCCAGAGGCTGAATTAAAATCAAATGCCCCGGGGAACACCTGGAAGGGGAGCCAGGCTACTCTGTGGCAGCCCAGACGCCTTCCACAATGGGCAGGGGGCCTTCTGTGTCACGCCCACCTCCAGGTCTGGGCCCCATTACCTCTCTGCATCGAGGAACATAAGACGAGCCACGTTGTAACATGGGCGGGCTTCTAGAACTGTGCAGTTGGGGTAGGCCTCCCTGAAACACAGTCCACCATCATTTTCTGTAAGGACCACTTGCCCCCGACTTTCACGCATGACCCCATCACCTTCAAGACACACATCCCAACTGAAGCTCCCCCCTTGTTTTTTTCTTAGTCTAGAAAAATGAGTTAACCAAGAATCAAACTTTGAAATTCCTCCTCATGCTTATCTGAGTGGGGGGAGTGTGTGAGCCTAGTATGAGCCAATGACCTGGGATGTGGGTGCACACTGGGATGCTGGGGAAGCCATGCCTGTGGTCTGATTCTTGTCCAGGGCTGTGAACTTGAAGTTGAGAGAAACTGTTTCTAGTCTTGGGTTGTTCCCTTTACCTGTTCGCAGAAGATCTGGGTACAGTCCGACACTTAGCCTGGACCACAGACTGACTCCAATCAACACACAGCCCAGTCTACAGAACGGTCCCTGCCCCAAGACCAACCATAGATGGATTCTGAGGTCTGACCTGAGACTGACCTCTAACCTGGGACAGAGAATGATCCTTTACCCTGACCCAAATTGACCCATAACCCAGACCCAAGACTGACCTCTAACCCTGACCCCAAGTTGACCCCAACCTTGACTTGAGACTGACCAGAGATCCACCATCCCTGACTCTCAGTACCTGGTACGTGGCAGGGCTGGAGGGATACCTACTGACTGAGGGCAGGAGACGTTCCTTTTACATTTTGCTCATACACTGCTTCTTGATCCTAATCCCTAATCTAGACTGAGCCCCATCTTTAAAAAAACAAAAAAATTAATGAAGGACCGCTAAGTGTTAAAGAGGCACAAGATACGGTTTTGAAGTAACAAGATGAGCTGCACAAACCCATGAGAATTTGGAAACTGAAATCTGGGAAGGGGTCATTCAAATGCACTTCCCAGGAGGCTACAGAGGTTTCCCCGGACACTGTTTTTGCTCTAAGGTTCCTCTTTGGAAGCGCCTCACCTCTGTGGCAGGCTGAGGCCTCATTCTCACGTGACTGATCTCTAATCACATAGTCCCCACCACCCAGGCTCCCAGGTTTTGCACATAGGGTATTCCCTAACTCTGCTGGGTTAGTCCTCCAATCCAGGTAGATCCCAGACCTGGACAACAAGCCCTGCCCAATGCTGTCACCTTGCCCAGGAGCCCCACAAGGACAAGGCTGCATCCCTATATAACCAGGCGCATCCCTATATAACCAGGCCTGAGCCAAGAGCTTGCACATAGTAGGTGCTCAACAGACATGTATTGAATGATTGGGTCAATGAAATGGCTGTTTTGTAATGTTTACCTCACTGATCCCCAAAACTCCAGTTAGGACCACAGTCTCCCACACCCTGCTTATATAGATAGGCTAACCACCAATTTTAATCACAGGCTGTTTCTTAAACAAAACTACAGACTGATCCCTGAAGCAGACAACTTGGACCGTGAGCTTCCCACGGACAGCATCAAGTTTGGTTCTTGTCTCCCTGGTATGATGCACATAGTAAGTGTACAGTAAACGTGTGCTGAATGAATGGATGCTTGGCTAGTGGAGTTCGCTCCCTCACTGCATGCAGGTCTGCTCAAATGTCACCCTGTCTGAGTACCCCCGCCCACCCCATCCACACACCCTTCCTGACTCCTTCACTCTGTCCCTCTCCCTGCCTGGTTTTCTTCTGAGCACCAACCCCTACTTGATACAGTGTCTATTATCAAAAAGCAGGGGCTTTTTCTTTTCTGTTTACTGCTATTTCTCCAACTCCTGCTCCAGGGCGGCCACATAGTAGGTGCTCCGTAGATTTTATGAAAGGACTTGTCAGGGCAAGCTGACAGCTGATTCCAATTGGACAGTAATATTAAGATGGCTCTTAACTCTGAGCACACCCTGTCCTTAATCCTGACCCAAACTGCCCCCGAATGCTGATCACAGCTTGAACTCCAGATAGGACCCCAAGTTGTTCTCTCATACTGAACAACGTTGATATAATTTTGACTGCTGTTCTGTAAATTGTATGAGGGCAGGGCCTGTTTCTCATTTATTTAAGCCTGGAGTACAGAAGGTGACCAATACATGTTGAATGAATGAGTATTCATCCATTAATACTGATCCCAAGTCAGTCATCTTCCTGTAACATAGGAGTCTGGAATATCTGAACCTGACGAGACACTCTCGGTGCTGTCCAGATGTAGAACCAGGCCTGACCTCTGATCCAGGCAAACTGACAGTGGAGCTAGACCTTTAAACTCCTGCTTCTGACCAGAGCCAGCCTTGATCCAGACCACCAACATCCCTTATTAGGATACTGGCCAACTCCTAATTCTGACCACAGACTAACCTTCTTAGCTCAATCTCACATCATACCCTGGACTGGCTCCTAACACTGACCTCTGTACTGTAAAGCCTCCAACAGTCTGATGATCTTCTATTCACTTTTACACTCCCAAGGCCCGTCACTGTGACTTACACCTAAGAGCACCTGAGAAAGTTTGCCAAGTGGACAGATGAATGTATGCTAGGATCCCTAATCCCGTACACAGTCTATTGTGGGCACCAGGCACTCCTGGAGGTGGATATTCTCCTCCCTCTAAGACAGACTTCCAGGGTTGAAAAGAGCCTCAGAGCACACACAGCCCACGTTCTCCTGGGCTCCTTGACGATCTACTGAAAGCCAAGGCGATTCTCCTTGCCAGTCTGCACACAAACTCCAGCATGTCACATGTACTTTTGAAGAAGCCACACACCATGGACCCTGGGGCAACAACCCATGACCCAGTTCAAGCCGGAGCAGAGGAAGGGTGGCGAGTATGTGGGACAGACTGGACTCACTTTTCAAGTATTTCTTCTCAAGCCTTTCAAGTGTTTCTCTCGTGTTCTTAGAGGGGCCTATCACCCAGCTGAATTGCTAGCCCGCCCTGGAGTCAGAGAATTCTTCTTAGTCTAACCTCCACCTCCACTGCACCCAGAGTGAGAGGTGTGTGAGGAGCCTCTTGGGAGTTGAAAGGCAAAGAAGGGTCCGCAGGTGCTGGGGATGGGGCTACTCACTCAAAATGCTTCTTGATCTTTTCTGACTCTGCATATTTGGATATTCCATTGATGAAGAGAGTCCGCTTCACCTGGGGTGAGAGGCAGGTGAGAGGGGCCAGAGGATGCAGGGACGGGGTGGGGGAACGGGTGAGCAGAGAGGAGCAGACAGAGGAGGAGGAGACCTTAGGAAGAAGCCAGGTCCCAGAGAATTTCTGGTAGAAATCAGGCAGTAAGTCTAATGAAAAGAGCCATCTGGCCCCTTGCTCCTTGAGGGGTTTGGTGTGGGGGAAGAGTGGGGTACTCATTTCCGATCCTCAGGCCATGAGGACCCAGCAGAGTGGCTGCCATGGAGTGGTGTTCATTACTGTTTAGTGAATAAATGTAGAAGTGGAGGGAATTTCACCACCGTATCATTAACCACAATTATTTCCTGAGTGCCAGGCACAGCCCCGGCAGGGTCCTTTCCACGCATCGCCTCACTTCACCTTCCCACCAGCCTTGGGAGAGGTACTGCTGTTATCTCATTTGACAGATGAGGAAACTGAGGCTTGGGAAGGTAGCTAACTTGCAGGACGAGGGCTCCTGAGTTGCTGAGTCAGGATTCAAACTCAGGACTAACCCGGGAGCCGACACCCCAAAGGGCCAAGGCAAGAGAGGCCTGGAGGGAAGAGGCAGGGGGTGGGGTACACCTGGGCTCTGCTCTACTCACCAGGTCGTCCTCCTTGTAGCGCATCTTGGAGGTGTGTCTACGCATGCTGTAGACGGTGAGCAGCAGGTACAGGAAGGCAAAGGAGGTATGCAGCCATAGCAGGTTGTTCCTGGGCAGAGCAGAGTATAGGGAAGCCATGGGGGTTAGGATCCACTCAGACATCCCCAACCTCCCCGTGTTACTTAAACCCCAGTATAGGGCCCCTCTACTGCCACCAGTCTTCTGGCAGTGACACTCCACAGGGCAGGACCCACACTCCACATCCTTTAGACATCCCCAAGATTGTTCCATTCCAACTGAAATGCCCCAAGAGATCATGTCTTCACACCCTACTCGCTGGCTGCACTACCGCGCACCGGCTCGCAGTCAGCCTCGCCTGCCTGAGGTGGCACCCTCCTCTTCTTTATCTGGTCGTTCCCTCAGCAGGGATCTACCTCTTCTGTCTCCAACCCTAGCCCTCAGGGCCCGAGCCCTCTCTGCAGCTTCAGCCACCTGTCCCCTGAACACTCCCCCTGTCCTCCTCGTTAGGGCCTGGACTCTGGCACAAACCCTGGCCTCACTGACCAGTTTCCCACTTACCCTGATTTCAAGTTGGCAATGGTGGTTCTCCCGAAGCTGTAGGCATTGTTCTCTGCGGGGTGAGAAAGGGAAGGGAAGGGGACGACGGTGGGGTCAGGGCCTGTCCCCTCCTTTCTCTACCCCACCCATCCTGGCCCTCACTGACCCAGCAGGTCCCCTGAGAAGTTGACAGGCAGCACGATGCCCACGGAGAGGACGCCCACAACGACCAGCAGCCCGATGATGTGCCGCTGGAAGGACAGGTAATGCACGGCGTCGCCTCCACACTTGTCCCGGATCTCATCATCCCTGTGGCGTGGCAGGAGATTGGAATTAGGTGAGGACCAGGGCGGCCGAGGGGCCATGACCTGCCTGCCCTGGCCCATCCCCACCCGCACCCGCCCTAGCCTCTGCCAATCTGGTAGCAGTGTGGGGTTGAAATGGGGTCTCTGGGTCCCTTATTTTCTGGGAAGGGAGGGAGAACAGAGGGAGAGAGAAGGGGAAGGAAAACAAAAAGAAGGATGCAGGGAGAAGGGGAGGGAAAGAGGAAGGATAGATAAGAGAAGGAGAGGAATGACAGAGGCAAACAGGAAGGAAGTTAGGAAGAAGGCAGGGAGGAATAAAAAAAGAAGGAAAACTGGAGAGAGAGAGGGAGAGGGAGAGAGAGATGGGGGAGACAGAGGAGAAATGAGGGATGGAGAGGAAAGGGAAAAGAGAAGAGGAAGATGGGAAAAGGGAGGACAAGGCGAGAGGAGGAGGAGGAATGGTGATAGAAGAGGCAGAAGCAGGAGGCTGGATGGGGGTTCGAGGCCGGTTTCAGGAAGCAGCAGCACCTTATGGGTGCTGGTGTAGCAGAGCACTTGATACACTTGGGGAGGGGCCCTGGGGGGCCGTGGGCGTGACGGTGCTGACCTGTCCATCTTCCTGCCTCTCAGCGCTCACTGCCTGCCTGTCGCACTCTGGCTCGGTCTCCTGACCTCTGCCTGCTGGATACTGGCTCCTGCCTGCTGCTGGCTGGCTGCTCCCAGCCTGCCTGCTGCCCCCACCCGCTGGCTGCACGGAGGCTGAGGTGGGGGCTGCAGCTCCTGCTCTCACGGGGTAGCAGGGGCAGGGAGAGCTGTGGGCAGAGTGCCCCCCCACACACAGGGGGGCACACAGGAGACTGTTGGGGGTCAAGTGAGGCCAGCTCAGAGGCCAGGACCCCAAGGCGTGGGCTCCTGGAGCAGGGAGGAGGGTGCTGGGCTGGCTAGGAGCGCTAAGGCCCTCAAAGCTGCTGGCCTCTGGATTTTGTGGGGAGATGAGCGGTTCTGAAGTTTCTGTGTTTCTTTCTTTCTTTAGAGCCTGAAGACCATTCACTTACTTTATCCTGAAGATGGCTGTCAGCCAGGAACAGAAACCCTGGGGGGACAGAGGGCTGTCAGCTGGAGCCCCTATCTCACTGCCCCGAACCTCCCTTCCCCCTCAAGTCCTGCCCACCCCATTCTCATAATCACCCCCGGCTGTGGCTCACCCTGGCAGAACTTCCACAACCCCCCAAAGAAACTAGCTCGCCCCCGAGAGGGGGAGATGGAAGGTGCCAGCCCTTGAAGAAGAAAAGGACCAAGGCTAAAGTGGGTTTTCTGTACACTCTCATGCCCAAAGCTACAGATCTCCTCAAATACCCAACAGGGCAGCAGAATCAGAGGAAGTCCTGCAGCAGTGTGCACCAGGGTGAGGATGGGTGGGATTCGGGGTTCCAGGAAGAGTAGTGAGGACCTCCAGACCTGTAGCTAATAAGTTTACAACATGGCTGCCAAAAGCAGAGGGGTAGGCCATACTGCCCAAGCTCCTGCCACTTATCTTCTAGGACACCCCAGAAGGACCAAAACCCTGGGTCACTGTGAGCTGCAATCTCCCACCCGCAAGCCCCTAGGCCTGCTTTTGGGCAGAGACCCTACTCAGAGCAGGGTGGAGATATGTGTGGGGGGGGGCTGTGCAGGGAGAACCCCGCCCCCCTCCCCGACCTTCCTATCAGGAAAAGGTCCAGACTTAACACAGGATAGGGGACAGAGGAGCCCTCCAGCCAAGACGCAGGACTAGGCTACCTGTTGTCAACAGCACCTGAGTCTGGGGACCATCTGGACACCTCTGGCTGGCAGGGGCAATACCTTGGCTTAGCCACTTACCATTAGGAGTCCAACTCAGGAAACTGACAGGCTTCTTCTGCTGCAGCTGCTACAGGGGCTGCTGCCCTGGGGACCCCCAGCCTAAGCTGGACTGACCGGGGCCACCCTAGAGCCTTTAGATTAGAGTTCTGACCAGGACCCCCACCCTGGCAGAATGATAGGGGGTCAGGCAGGTTACACCAGAGTGTTGGTTCTGACATGAAGGAGGGTCTGGGGACTGCTGTGAACCACCAAATATAAGCCTTGTCCACAGTAGCAATTGCCACTCAACTTCAGTCCACAAGCAGGTCAAGTGGCCCCACCCAGCCAGCCAGGGGCTGCCAGGCTTCAACCTCTGAGCAGCACAATGCAGTCTGTATGTTTTGCTAGGTGGCGTGAAAGGTTCCTTATTACTTCTAAGCCCGTGTCTGAGGAAAAAGGGGTCCTGAGAATTAATCAACAGAGGCAGGTACAGAACTTGACTGTGGAACCAAGTCTGAAATCACAGCTGTTAGGCGAGTGCTAGTTTGGAGGCAGACATGGAGGACAAAGCCAGGAGGTCTGGGTCTGGGTGGTTATGCTGTGGTTCTCAGATAAGCACTGCCCCTGCTGAGGAAACAGCTACACTCCCTAGGTCCCTGGCTCTGTATCCCTGGAAGCTAGAGGCTGCTGAGCCCACCTGCCCTGGAGGAGGAGAGGGTGGCTAAGAAGTCCGGGGAGTGCACTCACATTGTCTCTTTGGTCAAAGTCCACGGAGCTGGAGACAGACGTGAGACGCTCATACCGATCATGACTGTCCCCGTGCATAGCTGAGGCCACACTGGGGGTGGGGAGATGAGAGATGAGAGAGCCTGGTGAGTCCGAGCCCCTGGGGAGCGGGGGGTGAAGTGGGTGGGCTCCCACTCCAGAGTTCCAGGGGTTAGACAAGGCACAGAAAGCAGAGAGGCTGAAGCGAGGAGGAATGACTGCCCTCTCCCTGCCTCCCTGAAATGCGCCTATTCCCTTCAGGGGGATCAGGGGGCAGGGAAAGGGAAGAAGGTGTCTTCATCATCTCTCCTGGAAGTTGAAGTAAGAATGTGAGCCCTCCCTGCAGTTCCGGAGCCGACCAGCAGGGGACTCGGGGCAACAGAGCCAATATTATGTACAGGGCAATGGGGCGGTGAAGGAAGGGGTGGACTAGGAGAGCCCCAGAAGGGTGGGGTAAGAGGGGCCGGGGGATGTCTCCCAGGTGAGACCCTACCCGCCCTCTTCTCTGACCCCAGAAGCTGCCGCAACTCCAACACCAGTCCTATAGACAGAAACCGTGATGTGACACAAAGGGCCAGACTTGGGGCTCCTTGGGCAGCACCCCCCTCCCCTGCCTCCAGAAGAAGTGAGCAGGGAACCCTGAAATGTGGAGAACTAGCTGTCAGGGGACAAGAAGCCCCTGGTGACGCCCAATCTTGTCTCTGATCAACAGGGTGAGTGTATGGTGAGTTTCTGGGAGGACGGCCCCTCCACTCCAGCTAACCAGCGCCATGTAGGCACACGGGGAGGGACTTCTCCCAGGCAGAGGGCCAGACGGAGAGATGGGGGAGGGGGTATGAGGCAGAGACAAGTTTGGGAGCCCCCTGCTCTGCAAAGCACACCGCCTGCGTTAATCCGAAACATGAGCCTGCAGAGGAGAAAACTGCAAAGAGAAACCAGCAACTTGGCAGGAAGAGAAGAGAAGCATGAGAGAAGAAGGAAGGGGAAAGCTGGTTCAGTGGGGATGAGGGGGCTGGTGCCCCACATACTATTCCTGTTCCACTCGGTCCCTTTCCTGCCGCGGAAGCCTGGGGATAGAGAACAGACAAAGTTAGCAGGGGAGGAGGGAGGGTCCCAGGGGACTGACAAGGAACGCAGGCCCGACTGCGGGCTCTCACGCCCCCCATGCCTGCTCTGGGGCTGGTCCCTCTTCATCCCCCCAACAGAGGGGAGTGAGAGAGGGCTGGCTCTCCCCTATCCCTGAGGAGTGTGGAACAAGGTGTGTGTGTGCAGGGCCGAGGAAGCGTCCCAAAGCTTTACCTGTCTGCATCTGTCACCAAAGCCAGCCGCCCATAGTCCCAGGCCACCTTCCGGAGGATGGAGAATAAGAACAGCAATGCCTGAGGGAGAAGGGAGTGGTTGGCAGGTGGAGAGCCCACTCACCCTCAGGACCAGCCAGGAGGGCGGGGGCAGAGGGGCCAGAACCTTGTCTCAGAAGGGGGTGGCCCTGGCTTGGGTGACTGGTCAGAGTCTAGGCTTGGGCAGGGTGATGGGGATCTCTCCTGCAGTGAGGCCTGGGGAGTCAGAGTCAGGTGGGAGACTGGTTAGAGCTGCAGGTGAGGGCTGGCAGGGGGGCACTCACAAGGAAGCACATGAAGTCGAGAGCCAGCACGGTAGGGACGCCTCCAAACGGCAGGCCCTGCAGGACAGTGCTGCGGATGCGGGCACTGTAGCAGTAGTCCTTGGGATTGCTGTTGTTGAGGGCCGTGGTGCCCAGTGTGGCCAGCAAGAAGGGCAGCATGGCTGCTACTGCCGCATGGTCCTCCTGGGCAGAGGGCAGACTGGTCAGCTGGGCTCAACCCCCATCCCCCTCATGGCTTTGGGTATGACAGGTGAGAGGAGGGGGCGGTGAGGGCAGACCATGGTGCTGCCTGGGTGGATGGAAGCTCTGGCCTCCAGAGATAAGGGCCGGGGAGGGGAGGGTTGAGTCATGGATTTACCTTCACTGGCTGTCGGGCTGCCACCCCACCCTGGGTCTGGGGAACTTGGCCCAGATCTGGACTGGGGAGACTGGTTTTTCTAAGCTGGAAGCTGTCTGTGAGTCTCTAACATCTATCTCCCATCACCTCTATTCTCATTCATTCATTCTCCCTCCTTCCCCCACCCCCCAAAAAAAACTTACACTCTGTGTGTCTCTCCCAGTCTCAGGCAGGGGGCGGAGCTGAGCCTGAGGGAAAATGGGGAGCGGTCCTAAGCCTGAGGATCCAAGGCTAAGAGGAGGGGGTCACTGGCCAAGAGAAGATGGGTTAGGAGCCAGCTACCTCACCCTGATCTTCTTTCTACCCCTATTTAAAAAATGGCATGTTTCCATTTGCTTAGACTTTTCAACTCTGTTAATCACCTCCCCAATATAACTGGCTTCAAAATAAAATAACATGTTCAGCTTCAAAGAGGGTCTGAGAACAGGGTCAGAATGGGAAGTCATTTAAAAAGTAGGATTCTGGATTTGCATTACTTGCTTGGACCCAGTCACTCCTGCTTACCCTCATTCCTTTTCCCCTGCTAAGGCAGCAGCTATACCTCTCGCTCCTTCGACTTCCTCACCTGTCACCAATTATCTCTGCAAAGGAATCACCTGAATGGTCTGAGGACTACAACTCCCAGAGTGCCCTACTCCTGCCTCCGGAGCAGGGCAGGCTGGGAATGTCGTTTTTCCATCGAGCTCTTCCATTGGCAAAGGAAGGGAGAGTGGGCGGGGGTGGGGGTGGGTGAGTGTGGGGGGCTCTTAGCCCGCCTAAGCCCCCTGCCACCAGGGTACTGCCCTCTAGCCTGTTTCTTGCTACTGCTGGGTCGTCCAGATGTCAATGGTCTGATGGTCCAGTCCAGGTGGATGGGGTGGGTAGAGGGAGGCAAGGGACAGGCAGCCCAGATGCCTGGGTTCTGGAAGTGCCTGGGGATGGGGTGAAGCAGGGCTCTGGGGAGGCTCCCAGGGCGGAGAAGTGTGGCTGTGGCATCACCGCCCCACCCCTATCCTACTTGAGGGCCCCTGGGAGCCCCTCTGCTGACAACACCGAAGCTCTGCCTTTGCGGGGGGAGGGGGGGTTCTCCAGGGAGGAAAGGAAACCAGACAAAGAGAAAGAACAAACCTAGAATCAGCGACTGCAACTCTGGGAGCCAGTGTTCCCCCAGGCCCCTGGGGTGACTCAGAGGGTTTCCTCCTGTCCACCAATCCCAACCCCCATTCCTAACACTTCAACTGCTGGGCAAGAGGCACCAGCTCTCAGACTGAGGAAAAAGCTGGGGTTGTTTATGTGTTTCACTTAGTCCCAGGGAGTCACTGAAAAGCCTGCGTTAGAAAGGCTAAAGAACTGCCCTCTGTGTTATGCCTCCATCTTCCTTTCCAGCCCAAGCTGCCTTAAAAAACAACACCCAAAAAACCATCAATTTAGTTATTGTAGAAGGTGCCATTTTTAAGTACCCACTGTTTCAAGAATAATACGTACATGATTTCATTTAATCCTCAAGAATCCTGAGTTGGATGCCATTGTTATTTTAAGACGAGGGCATAGGGGCTCAGAGAGGTTAAGTAACTTTCCCAAAGTCACACTGCTAATCAAACCTAGGTCCACTTCTTTCTAAACCTAGAACACTTTTCAGGGCACCACGATGCTTTTCTGATGTGCCCAGCACAGGACTCTGCAGATTATGGACGCTTCATATAGGCTCATTAAATGTGCTCCGGCCAGAGAACACCAGACCACTGTGGGCACATGTGTGTTTAGGTGTGTAAATGCATGTTAGTGTGTGTGTGTGTGTGTGTGTGTGTGTGTGTGTGTGTGTGTGTGTGTGTGTGTGTGTGTGTGTGTGTGTGTGTGTGTGTGTGTGTGTGTGTGTAGCTAGGTGACTGCATGGCAGTCCACGGAAATGAAGTGAGTTGTTGGTCTCTAAGTGGCAGTGTGTATGTGGGTTTGTCTGGGAGCCTGGGTATGTAAACATAAGGTGCTCAGAACCTTGGGCACCAGGAGAGATTAAAGGCAGGTATAAATATCTTGAGTCTGTGGTAACTGGCGGGGGCTCTAAATTAGTCCCCCCCCCCTTGACTCCCAATTCCAACGTACTCCAGAAATCAAGACAGCCCATTCCCACTACTTGCCTGCTTCTCTCCCCAATTCCAAGGCTCCACCAGACCAGAATGGAATGGATACAAACCCCTGGAGCACCAACCCCCATCCCATCCTCTCCACTTGGAAGAAAGGTGGGACGTCCTGGGAACTTGTACATTAAGGGGACCTGGTAGGGTGGCTGAGGGTCTAGGTAGATGCTTAGTAACTGAAATCACCAGGTACATCTGCTGCCTCCTTTTTAACAGCCACAGAGCACTCTCTCCTCCACAACTGCACTGATCTTCCCACCTACACCATGAGGAAAGCAGGGCAGGCTTGATCAGATCACTATCCCCATTCTCAGGGACCCAGGGAGCAGAAGCAACTGGCAGGAGGTCACAGGGCAGGTAAAGGGTGGGGCCAGGGCTGGGGGCTCTGCTTGCTGACAGGGTTCCTCCAAGCTCTTCATTGTGGGGGCGGGATTGCTGGGCTGAGTTTCACCAAGGGCAGCTGCTCTCAAAGCCCTCACTGAGAGCAGCTGAGAGGGAAGAGAATAAGGCACAATTTTTTTTGTGGGGGGTATGTGGGGGGGGCAGTTCCTCCACAGGGTTGCCAGAGCCAGCTGTATCTCGGAATTTCTCGTCTGACACTGAGGCTTTTAGCTGGAAGTGTGTAGATAGAGTGATGGAAGATTTTATTTCTAGCTAACTGAAGGTTGTTATGTTACCATTAAGAAGAGTGTGCACGGCAGGGGTGGGGAGTTATAAGTTACAAATTTTTTCTTATTGTTACTTGGGAAGATTTAATTTGGGATCTGGGATCATGGGAAGGCAATGTGGTCTGATGAGAGATGAAGATGGAGGCTAGCTCTGTTACTATGTAAACTGGGCCTCAGTCTTCTAATCTGTAACAGATATTAATATCCTTGCTGTATGCCTACACACTTCAGAGGGATGGGCAAAAATGTATCTACAAATGAGGATAAAAGTAGTGTACGAAAAGAATGCATTTATCAAATACTTATTTAACTCTTATCCTGTGCCAGGCACTGTTCTAAAAGCTTTATAAATATTAACTCATTTACTCCCCATCACAAGACAACCCTAGGAGGACACTGTTTCAGACAGGGTACATAACTTGCCCAATGTCACACAGCCAGTCTGGCAGATCTGGATATGGACCCAGGCAGCCTGGCTGGAGTCTATGCTCTTAACCACTGCACTTTGCTGCCTGGGCCAACACAGGAGCCACTTCCACCAGGGAGCTGGGGGCTGCCAGCTACCATGCTAGAGAAAGGCCACACCCTATTTTCTACCTGTTTGGCTTCCCTCCCCTCCTGTGTGTAGCTCCCAGACTCTACACTCAGGCCTTGGGTTTGTAATTTTAGGTTCTGAGGCAAGTGTAGGGGACAGGCCACAGAGCCTGGTGGTTAGGATGTGACAAATCTGGCTTCTGTCCTGGGCAAATTACTTCACCATCCTGTACCTTGGTTCCTTCATCTGTAAATGAGGATAATAATTCAGTTGTGTGGTTTTGAGGATTAAACAAGATGACTTAACACAAAGCTCTTAATACAGTTCAAGGCACATGATGGGTTCTAAAAAATTAGCTACTATTATTAATGAAGTGTGGAATAAAAGGGGTTGGTTTAGTGGAGGCAAACTGGTAAAAATCAAAATAAAAGAAACCATAGAATTTAATATGATAGAGCCCCTTAGTCAGGGTAAGCTTCTTGTTTAGACCTAATGGTTTACACTACATTTGGGATTCTGCTACTCAGAGGCAGAGAATGTTCCCAAACTCTTCAATTATACCTGATCCATCTGCAGCAGGCTGGGAGTGGGGGGTACGGGAGGGTGAGGCTATGCCAGGAAGGGTCAGAAGTTCAGAGGAGAGAACCTGTTATTGATCAACCACGAGGCAGGGTGCCTGGCTTTACCTGTGTTGTTTAGTTTGATCCCCATGATAAATCTTGAAAGGAAGTGATAGTAAACACACTTTTAATTGAAATTAAGGTTCAGGCAGGTTAGGTAACTCGTCAAGGTCACACAGCTTAAAGAATAGCAGCTGGAATTTGAACCATGGTCTACAAGAGTGTTTTAATTGGAGGGAGCTTGTAGGATGTCCAAAAGGGGGTTCTTAGCTACCCACCACCTGCCTCTGCCTTGCCACATCCCCACCCACCCCGGGAAGTAGAGTGCAGAGCGGCCAGACCTCCATCCAGGGGACCCAGGCAGATGGCAGCGCAGCGCCCCAAGGGCAGCCGGCCCCTCTGACCTCTCCTCTCAAATTCCCAAGCTTTTTTCTCTTCTGGGGAACATGGCACCAAAGCTTTGGGGCTGTCTTCCCTAGGTGGTCAAGAAGGCCAGAAGGGACAAACGCGCCCCTCCCTCCAAAGGGGCCTTTGCCCCACTCCCGGTTCCCCGCTGAGTCTTTTCCCCCACCGCACCCTCCAAAGCAGGCCCGGGCGGCTCATGAATGAACTGCACTGTATGGGGCGCAGGAAGAGGACACGCTCCCGGGCCAGCCGCCTTCTCAGCACGCCGACCAGTCCCTCAGACCAGCTGGGGGCAGCGGCCGGCCTCATGCCAGCACCCACGAAACCTGCCCTTGCTCGCGCTCGACCCCCTTGCCCCGCGCCGGCTTCGGCGGTACTCGGCCCGGGGAGCAGAGGAAAATATAAAAGAGAGCGAGGCCATTGGACTTGGCGACCCCGGAATTCAAAACTCGGGGGCGGGGGCGGCGGCGGCAGGTTCCCCACAGCCGCGGAGGGTTGATGGGGCACAGCTGGAACCCCTGAGGGGCGCGGAGGTGACGCGCACCTGGACCAGGCAGGTGGGAGAAGAGTGGCTCTAGGGGGCCGGGGGCGGGGGTCCCACCCCTCGGCATCTCCGGAGGGGTGGGGACAGGGGTCTGTCTGATGACTCCCATTTGGCTCTGGATGGTTCGGGATGGGGGCAGCGCGAGGCACCACTGGGTCCCGCGGGCCGGGGCACCTCTGGGTCCCGCAGGAGGTTGAAGGGAGGGGACGCGCAGCTGAGTCCGGGGTTTTTCTTTGGGTAGTGGTGGGATCCTCAAAGAAAAGAGAGGAGGCTGGGGAAGGGTCGCGTACTCACCCCCAGGCGCAGACTCTGCTCCAGCTCGGAGCCCCGGGTTGGGGCGGGGCGGGGCTGGGGGAGGGGGAAAGGGACTCGCAGGGTTGCTCGAGCTCCGGGCTCCTGCGGCGGCCGCGGCAGTGTCGGGGGAGGGGGAGCAGGAGGAGGGAGGGGAAGAGGGGGCGGGGCCGAGCAGGTCCCACCCCCCACGCCAGCACACGCACGGCGCTCGCGCATCCTCAGATCACCGCGCGCCCAGCTGGGTCCGGCGCGCAGGCGCAGTGGGAGAGGCCGCGTGGGGGTTCGCAGGGAGGCGGCGCTTGGCCTGTGAGGCCCGCGGCGGGATATTCCAGGGCGGCGCGCGAGAGAGGTATGGATTGGTGGTGGGGGCGGGAGCGTCCGGCTCCTAACTCGCTACTTCCCCTCTCCTTTTCTTCCCTGCAGTAGGGGAGGCGCGCTGCCAGGGTGGGTGAGGAAAGGCCCGAGTGGGCTGATGGTGGACCCCTTGGGGCAGTGGGAGGGGTCCCGACGGGGAGGGGAGGCCTCTGACCCGTACCCTCATCCCTCCTACTCCCAAAGAGCGGCGGGGGCTCCCGTGGCCTCTGCACCCCCGCGCCCCCAGCCGGCGCTCACCTGCCTTCGGAGGGATGTGGGGCTGGCCTGGAGGGGGAGCCGGCTGCGGTCAGGCTTTCGAAAGGTGGCCTCGGCCGCTCACTGGCGCGGCTCCTCGAGTTTGTCTGCTCGTGCCCTCCCTCCCCCTCCGCTTGGGTCTGGAGATGACTTTGTGACTTCTTTGTCAGGTGCTTCTGGTATGAAGAGTGAGTCTGTTGCTTTCACTGTTGTGCCGATGAGTGACTACCCCCCTCTTCAGGGGGTTCCCTGGTGTCTTCTCATTTCGCCAGAGGCTGCATCTGCCAGAGATTAAAAATGGAAAGATGGGGGGGTGGGGGACAGTGTGTGCGCGCGCACGTACACATAAGTAGGAGTGTAGATCACCCCCACAAAGACAGCGAACTGCACTCCCATTCAAACGGAGTCCCATTGGTTGGAAATCGGTTTAGTGGATCATAGCCATCATTTATAAAAAAAGAAATAGAAGATATTAGAGTGCATTGTCCTTAGTAAGGGTATTACTGCTTGACACTTGCTTCAGGCATATACACATGTGTGAGTGTATTAAGACATGTGAGACAATGTGTTTCTGTGTCACAGAAAAGTTTGAAACATATTGGTCTCCTGTGTCCTCCTGTTCGCCCTCCTTCATTCCTCAGCCTGAGTTTTCACTCAGTTAAAATTGTCCACGAGGATGCAGTTAGCACACCAGGAATATACAGTAAAGAATAGAGTGGGTCCCTTTATTCAGGGAGGAGACTGCCCAAGAAGAAAGACGGTTCACCCTTCACTCCTTGGAAACACGTGCAATTGAAGAAAAGGATTTTGTTGGGGTAGGAAGTAGGCTGGCTTACCTAGGAAAAACTGGCAGACTGCCTGGTGGGAAGGAAGTGTCTTTGTGGGTTTGGATTCAGGGAGTTGTTTTTGGGTAAGAGCAAACAGTTTAGATTCTAAACCAGCGGTTCTCAACTTTCCTAATGCAGTTCCTCATGTTGTGGTGACCCCCAACCATAAAATTATTTTCGTTGCTACTCTATAACTGTAATTTTGCTACTGTTATGAATCGTAATGTAAATATCTTTTTGTTTTCCGATGGTCTTAGGCGACCCCTGTGAAAGGGTCGTTTGATCCCCAAAGGGGTCGCAACCCACAGGTTGAGAACCGCTGGTTTAGATGAAAATTTGCTCTAGTTTTTTTTTTCTTTCTTTCTTGGATGGAATTGTCCATTTTCCCCTTAGAGCTTCTTGGATGTATATTTCCTATGGAACGTTTTACATATTGAGTTGATTTTATGGTTGTAAAGCTGGTCTGATCAATTGCTATATAGCACTTGTAGTGGATACCTGGAAAGTAGAAATGGAGGCCATAGTTACCTGGTTTTTGGACTTCTGAGGATCACTGAAGGCATTTCTTATGCATTATTGTTATTTTTAATAATCAGTTATGAACCTGAACATGTGGTGGATTCTTGACCTATTTTTGCTTGTGCTTAATTTGGCTCACCACATGTTAACAGACAGAGAAGAAACATTTCAGAAAGCCTGAAATGAGCATAGAATTAAGTATACTGTGGAATCCATGAAGGAACAGTGGCCAAAAAGTTGTATTATTGCCCTTGAATATGAATGTTAAAACTTTCCCTGGAGTCCATATTTCAGGAGGTATTCTGTTGGGCAGTGCACGTGATTAAGGTCTTCTTCAGCATCTATTGGGTTGTCGGAAAAGTCATGACGCATTTTTGCAACGGAAAACAGAAAAAATACATCATGACTTTTCTAACAACCCAATACAATAGAATCTTAGATGATGCAAGAGTCCTTAAAGCGTTATCTTGCCTCATTCCTGTCATGGTGGATTATAACATCTGGACCCACGTAAGATAGATTTTCCCATTGTTTTGTTTTTATGATTGTGTGGGGGCTTTGGAGGGCCTCAAAAAACAGGTTATGGTTTAGCCTTTCTTTTAAAAGGCTGATGGTTTGTTCTGTGTTGTAGCTCACACTGTGTGATTTTACATGTGTATTAACAGTGACAACCAGCATGTAAGAGAGGACTATGATTCAGATCTCAGAAATGTTGCTCTGGGTCAGATAATATGCTCTCTTATTCAGAAAGGTACTAGGTTGCTTATTATTCACTAGTGAAACAGCTCAGAGTTGGAAAGTCTCCCTGTCAAAACTTAAAAAAAATAAATAAATCATCTCTGCCGTTAGAAAAGAGAGGGAGCACTTTCCCATGTCTACTTTAAGTTGAAAAACACTTTTAGGACTGATTGGTCTTAAAGAGACACTCGCAGTGCTGCCCTGAGAATCGGAGTGAGGCTGCTCTCTCTGGTCAGGATTTGGAAACAAACCGCATATCTTGCAGATCTGGTCCCTACTGGTTAATTCAGAAAGGGATTCCCCACCTTAAAACGATCACTGACAGGAGTGACTCTAAAGCACATTCATTTCCATGCCTCTTTGCTCTTCCCAATTACCCCTTCTTGGAAGAGTCACTGAGGCCTGGAGAAGTTGATTCCGAGGTCACAGACGTAGCAGGAGAATAGGGAAGGATGGGGCGGAGGAGATATGCTTGCCATTGGTAGCATTCCATGTTTGAGTGCAGGGGCTCCTCTAGGCTCTTCCTTTCCTCCACTGCCCTTCTGCCCACCTGACAGCTCCTCTGTAAGCCTGGGTCCTTGCCACTGGCCCACGAGAGGTGGTAATAGGCAGGAAATATGTACACGATTAAATAGCATTGAACTTTGCTTTATGCAGCTTCTCTGAGTTTAACCGTGCTGATTATTACAAACATTTCTGGACTATAGGTGTTTGCACACTTGTGAAGTGGGGATGGAGAGGGAGCAAAGCCAGAACAGATAAAATCTGCACATTGAAAAACCAGCTTGAATAATTGAGAATTGTCAGATATATTTAAGAACCACTGCTTTAAATACTTCTGTAACAAGTTGGGGCATGAGGTGAATACACAAACAAATATAGGGCAGAAGACCTGAAAACACTTTTCTTTTGTGAAATTGAGAAATGGGGTCCTGAATGGCAGCCATGGCAGTAACAGCCCATTGTGTTATTGAGTGTTACTTGGCTTATTGATAGTGACACTGTGATAGATAACTCACCTTGGCAGGTGATTCAGATCAGCTTCAGCTTCTATCCTGAGTGTAGTGCAGATATTTATTGAAAATACAACTTTTAATTCCTGAGTCTTTAAAGATTATGTGACAGGCTTGATAGAGAAGAAAGAACACTTGCCCTGTGTGGGATGTAATTTTTTCTGTGAAGTTTATTAGTGGTTAAAAGCAGCATCTTAGCTGTACAGTTATTGCGCAGGGTGTAATAGAAACAGCCTTATAACCTTGGACAATTCAACAAGTGGCTTATCATTTCAGACTTCATTTCTTGTCTGCAAAATGGTACTTACTCTATTGAGCCCCAGAACCATTCAAAACCCTTAGCTGATTGAGCCCCTTGCAGACTGTTGCTCTTTGTTATTTGTCTTTGTGTTTCCAGTGGGTGCTCAGGAATGGAATCATCCAAGAAAATGGTCTGTGTGAAAGTCCTTTGAGAATTTGTAACATGTGATACTTGTGTGAGGTTAAAAAAAATTCCTGAAAGAGGATCAGTTGGACAACAAAACAGTAATGAGTTTTTAAGTTCCAGTAAGAATGCTTACTGGTCCAGAATGATTGGGGTGAGATCTGCAGGAGATGGCAGGAGTTGTGTCTGCATGACCGAGAGCGCAGGGTCCTGGGATTTCCTTTTCTTGGTTCCTTGAGGCTGCCAGGCCTTTGCTTTTTCCTACTTTAACTAGGAAAGATGTTTAGGCCCTTAAGCTTCTGGCTGGCATTGCATTTGATTTCTCTTAGTGTTTCTTTTCCCTACTGTTACTAACAGGATCATCTTTAAGCGCTCCTTTGCGATTGTGGAACGTTTAATTTGTTTTGTCTCATTTTTATATTAGCCCATTGCTCCTGAAAGGCCTTTGAGATGTATATAAGGTGCCAGCACCTAAGGATGGAAATTGTTCATGTGGAAACAATGTATAATTATATATAAGTCTGTGATACTAAATACATTTCTATGATCCTCAAAGCTCAAGTAATGGTCCTTTCCAGCTTTCCACAAAGCATCAGAGGTGTAGGCTCTTTCTGTTTTTTTTTTTTTTTCCTCCCAGCTCAGTCTCTGTGTATTAAAATTAGCTTAAAAATGAGCTCTCAGTGTGTAGGAGGCTCCCTCAAGTCACTGGGAACCTGGGAGAAGGGCACAAGAAAGACACTCCCCTTCTCCCCCCGCCCCAACATGGAGCCTCTCTGGAGCTGGAGGTTGAATTGCAGTTCCAGACAGGTAGATCCTCACGGAGCTGCATTTGTGTGCCAGGCAGTGTTCTGGGCCCTGCCTTCATGGAGCAGCCTTTCAGTGGGTGATATAAGTGAAAAAGTCACCTATAGGTGATGCCAAGTGAAAAAGTCACCTGTGGGTGCCTGAAATAGTCCTCCCTGACCTCCACAACGGAAGGGACATTCTTCAAGTTAAACCAGGATGGAAAATGCGCATGGCGGTTGGATTGTATGAGATCGTTTCCCTCCCTCCCTTCCTCCTCCTCTCCAACTCCCAGGGGTTGTGATTCATACTCTAAACTTGGAGGGCAACACTCAGTGCTGACCAGGAAGTGGCATTAAAAACCATCTCTGGCACCGGAATCTTCTGAACACCTGGCCTCTGAGTGAGAGTGTTGTAGAGGAGGAAATATCATTGGGGTTACTTTCCATGCAAACACAAGACTCAGTGTGGAAACAAAGCATTATATATAGACTGCATCTGAAGTGAATCAGGGCCTGTGTCTACAGGATGGATTTATGCTAAGAAATAACATGAAGGCCAATCAAGGTTGCTTTGAAGTAAATTGCTGCCTCCATTACTCTTCCCTGATTCAAACCAGTTATTTGGTGGCTGGATGAGGTGTTTTTCCACAGTGGGCAGTGTAGGCACTAGGCCTGGGAAATGATTCCAGGGGCATGTAAACACAGCATGGGCTCATCCTTCCACAACCAGCACCATGGTTCTCTTAAAGCGTGTTTGTGTGTGATGTCCTAGTTCCTGATAAGAGCTCTACAGTATGTCTGAGCCATAAGTGGGGGGTTTCTTTCCATTGGCTACCTCAAATGTTTATTGTGCTCCTACTCTTTGAGGACCTGCTGGGCCTTTTGCTGGGGTAGGGGTAGAGGGGACCACAGGTTGTTTTTTTTTTTTTTAGGAATAAGGCATGCATATACACACACACACACACACACACACACACACACACACAGTAAGTGAATATATTTGTGTGTGTGTGTGTGTGTGTGTGTGTGTGTGTGTGTGTGTACACGTGCTTTCAAGTTCTTAGGAAGGCTTACTGTTGTGCATTTGATGTGTTAAGTCCTTTGGGTCTGGAGCTCACCATTAGATCCACCAAGAGCTAGTGAAATGTCTTTGAATCAGCAGTTCAGTCTTTGAAGTGCTCCTTGGAGACAAGAACGTGTTACTCTTGTATTTGAGGACAGTGCAAGTAACCCTCATGATCTGAGTCTGTGTGATTCCTGAGTTCCTGCAGCAAGTTCAGATGCCAGGTTATCTAGATTTCTGTGGTTTCTGAGTTTGGGATAGTGAGTAGCAAGCACTGCACCGTTCAGGGATATCATCAGCCTTATCTCAGAAAATGTATCTAAATTATTCAGTTTTTGAGTCTGGATAGTGAAAGTTGGAGCAATGGGAGTTCCTTGGGCACAGGAAGCCCAGATGTCCTCGCTGCACAGGAGGGTTAGCAACTGACGCTGCAGTTCTACACAGGCTTCGTGGAGGAGATGCACTTGGAACTGGGTCACATGTAGCTGGGTAGAGATGGGTGTAGGTGTGGGGGGCGGCTTGTGAGCCATGTGCGAGAGGAGGCCTGGGTTTGGGTGTTTGCAGAGACGACCTGCAGAGTTTAGGGAGGCGCCTTGAGTGGTGGGGTTTGTTATACCCAAGTCAGGGCAATTCCGGGGAGCCCCCAGGCACTGCAGCAGTTCTTGCACTAACACAAGTGTTATTGAGGAAGCAGTGCTGTGTGGAGAGGCAGGGTGTCACCGTTCTCAGGAGAGAAAATGGGGGTGGGTGGTGCTGGGCTAATCTTGAGGGTTCTGGGGAGTTGCTGAGGAGCCTCTCTCCTCAGGAGCGAGAGCGAGGGCTCACCAGCATCAGACGGGGAAGCTTGGCTGAGTGGAGGTAGCGGTGGCCTGCACCAGAAGGTCTGTGCTTCTGAGCTGTGTTTTGTTTTTTTTCTTAAAGCCAATTTTCAGTTACTGCTCAGAGTATGGAGCTCTTCATACCACCTACACTACAAATTGTCTTCAAAACTTGAATTGGATTCAAGTGAATAATTTTCACCTGGTGTTTGTGTATATTTCAGTTGGTTCAGCAAACATTGAGTTGGGTATGAGTAAAATGTGCATGTGATGTCAGTATTCTTGATGGAACAAGGATGACTTAACAGTTGGAAAAATTTAAATTAAAGCTACCATGTTTGCTGTTAACTAAGACGACGAGCATGGGTTCAGGAAGCCGACTCCCGGGGTTCAAACTGCAGCTTTGTCACTCCTAGCTGTGTGACCTTGGGCAAATTATCTAACCTGGGCCTCATTTCCTCATGTGTAAGAAGGGACTAATAATAGTGCCCATTTCACAGAGTGTTTGTGAGGCTTAAATGAGATGATAATGTAAAGGACTTAGTTTAGTGCCTAAACAGTATAAACTACTCAATATATTTTCATAAAGAAAACGGAAAAAGACCAGGAGCTCTTACCCTGAGCTCCCTTGTGTGACGTGGGTTTTGTACTGCAGAGTGAGGTGGTAGGGTGTGGTGAAAATCTTGGACAGAAGCTGGATCTACTTCTGCTTCTGGTTCTGCACTTGGCTAGTTGTGGGTCTTTACATAAAGTCACTTCATCTCTCTGTATCTCAATTTCCTAACCTGTGAAATGAGTTGTGACTAGATGACAACAACTATGACAATGATGACAATGATGATGAAGACAGATAATAGGTATTGAGTGCTAGGCACTGTGCTCTGTGGTTTGAACACTCTGTGGTTTGAACCGGTTATCTCATGACCACTTTGTGAGTATGTGTTACAGGTGGGAAGCCCCGTGTTACAGATGAGGAAACACCGTTACAGATGTAGAAACCAAAGCTCATACATAGTTCCTTGTCTAGGGTTACCTAGCTATAAAGGTAAAGCTGGCCTCGTCTAATAATCTTAGATTCTATGTATCAGATGTTAGTAGTTCTATAAGTTAGCTGCCTTCTTTTGCATTTAATTTTCTGATCATAATTACACTTTGGCCAATGCTTCCTGTGTTGCCGTAAGGAAAACAGTGGAGAATAACCTTGCGATTTGAGGCTAAATTATAGTTAATAAGCATTTCTGAAATGTCTAGCTATTCCTTTGGGAGTAAATAGTGGGCTTCCCCCCCCACCCTTATTAAATAAAACCTTATCTGCGGTGCTCTGAACTTGTGCAAGTCAAAGCTAAGTGTAAACACTACAATGGTAAGGCCTTTCTCAGCAGAGCTCTCGAATGAGGCCCTTTGCAGCTGGACGTTTGGCTGGAAGAACAGTGTTTTGCAGCTGGAAATTCTAGGTGGCTGTAGGTTTTTCTTAAACACACACCTACCTAATTCCCAGGTGTTGCAGGAAACGGGGGATTGCCATATTTGTTGGTGCTGGGGAGCCACAGAGTTGGGGTTCTGCAAACTGTAGTCATCAGTGTTGGGTTTGTGTTTGCTCTTTCACCTCCAACTTGTTCTCCCAAACCCCACTTTTAGCTGTAGTATGGTGTCGGTAGTTTTTCTGAGTTGTAATGTTGTTTGGGAGACTGACTCAAATAGAGGCCTTGGTTAGTGATTTGGCATGGCCATCCTTTGGCCCTGCTTTGCTAGCCTGGACCTGGCCAGGTGTTCTGGCTTTTACATTTGGGGGAAAGGTGATGTGGTAACAGACAACCTGACAAGTTGCTCAGATAATCTGCTTTCTTTCAGGGAGTAAAAGTCCTGGTTTCAGGAGGCCATGAGTGCCAACAAGGGCAATATAGTGTGCAGGTTTTCCTCCTGGAGAACTTGGAAGTGGGGTCACTGGCCGGGTATGTACCAGAGGATTCATGCTTTCCTCCTGCCTGTGGTAGTGATGTAATGACAAAGGCATTCTTGGTGCTGTTGTATTCCTTATAGTGAGAACTGCTGTGGGTCATTCCAGCTCTCTGACCCCAGTTAGAATATGAATCAGCAAAATTGTAGCTGGAGTTCCAGCAAATCACCTGCCTATCTTTTAACCACTAAGATTTATATTTAGTGACTAATGATCTTGTGCTAGAAGTGCCACCTCCCATGCAAGTCCCCAACCGTCTTTTATTATAACAAAACAAAACAAAACAAAAAACTGGCTCTGAGTAAGGACACAGACTTAGAAATAAACCCTTTCCCCCTCTTTTTTTTCTGTAGGATTTGCCCTCGTGGGATCCCATGGCTTCCTTTACCGGGCTCTGGGGCCCTTTCACCCATGTAAGCAGAGCACTCAGCCAGCGCTGTTTCAGGTAACTTTCCCCATTAAGTTCTTAAGCTGTCCTTGAGTAAACCTCCCATCAGGGCTGAACATTATGGTGAGTAGATCAGGAGTGGAAACCCAGGGAGGTGGACTTGAGGTCAGGGAAGCAAAAGGAATCAGACGGAGCTCTGTCGTAATGTTGTCAGGTCAGGTGAGGGCATAGGTGAGGAGGTGACGTTGCTGTTAGAGGTGGGATAGGAATGGCATACGGTAGAAGATGAAACTTTTCAGTCCTTCCAGGCTTGTAGTGAATCTGACATCTCTCTACCCTATCATCCCCCCCAGTGCATTAAAACCTCCTCTTTTAAGAATGGAATCATTTTTTTTTTAAATTACATGCTTATTACCAAAAACTCAAGCATGATAGAAGTGTGACAACCTCCTCTATCCTTTTAGATGCTGAGCCAGGGGGAGAGCATGGGTTGCATTCCCATTGGCAAACATGCCTTTTGGCCCCATTTGTACACTCATTTCACAAGCATTTGCTGAGCACTGTGCCTGGGATGGTCATGGAGAGATGAATAAGAATTGCTTCCTGCCCTGAAAGAGTTCTCACAGTTGGCCACGGGAGCAAGCTTAGAAACAAATAACTCTAGGAAAATGTGACAAGTATAATAATAGAGGTTTGTATGGTGCTGTGGAAGGCCTGAGACCAGAGCTGCTAATGGAGGAGGAGGAAAGGGAAGTGGGGGCGGCCTTCCCAGAAGGGTAGAGGGAGGGAGGTCCTGTTAGGCCTCCAGGGAGGGCTGAGAGGCGTGGGGTGCACGGACAGCTCCAGGAGTTCCCGGCCAGGGGCAGTGGGAGTGGAAGTGGTTGGACCTCAGAAAGCGGGTAAATCGGGGGCCAGCTTGTTGACAGTGTAGATGGTGGGGAACCATTGAACAATTCTAACCAGGGGAGTATCCCCAGTTTTTTGTTCTAAAAAGAGCTCTTGGTTAGTAGAGTGAGGCGCACTGGGAATCAGTTAAGGCACTAACATAACAATCTTGGTATAGGAGAGTGAGCTGCCAAATTCAGAAGTATTGATGGGGCGGAGGGAGAGCACAGAGGTGCTTAGGAGGTGGTGTCAGTAGGACTTGGCAGTAGTGGAGGTTGTTGGAGAGAAATGTGTATGGCTTGGGAGCTGGAATTTCTGGAGAAGCCATCATCTCAATAGGAAATGCAGCCACAGGGGGAAGATTGCAAGAGGAGGCAGCAAGATCAGTGTGGGACCTCCCGAGTTCGCAACATCTACAGGACACGTTGAGAGTTTAGAGTGGAAATACGGGACTAGGGTACAGGAGAGACTTGGAACCAGAGATGGAATTTACTAGTTGGAAGCAATGGGAATAGATACAGTTGCCCAGAGTAGGGGTGTGGAATGAGAGGAGAGGACCTGGGATTACCTGGGCGAACACCAGCCCTTAAGGTGCTAGCTAGCATCAGGAAAATAGAAATCCCACTCTCACCAGATTGCTAAAGAATAGCTTATCTGCCTTTAATAGGTACCCTTTAAAAATTTTTTTTTCTAGTGGGGAAAAATGCAGTAAAACAAAAGATTGTTACCTTGACTCATTTCTATTTTCTGCTATGTTGTGTCAAGGGACTCCCTTAGCAGACCTACTCACTCATATCTTCTGGTTCCCAGCACCATATATGAGGTATGATCAAACAATACGGTGATTGTTTAAATAAAAGAAATTTATTACAGTAAAAGACACATTGCCATTAATCCCCCTCAAGATACTCCCCTTCGCTTCAAACACACAATCCCATCGTTCTTGCCACTTTCTGAAGCAGTTCTGGACGTCTCTTTCCTGAGTATCTTTAGTTGTGCTGTCATGGCTGCCTCAGTGTCCTGAATCAATTCAAAACGTTTACCTTTCATGGTCATGTTAACTTTGGGGAAGAGCCAGAAGTTACACGGTGCCAGATCCGGTGAATAAGGTGAATGAGGACACACCGTAATGTTTTTATTTGACAGAAATTGCTGTACCAGAAGCAATGTGTGACACAGAGCCTTTCCGTTGTGATCACAAAATATGGTGAATGCTGCTGCCAAGGGCCATCCAATGGAAAGGCAGGGATCTTCAATATAGGAAGCGGCTCATCGAACCTTACTTAGGAACAGTGTGTGACAAGTTTCAGTTTGTTCAGTGTAGTCAGTGGGGTGTGAGCAACGGTTGAGAGAAGGTGTGTTTTAATTAAAGTGTGCTGTAAATCATCCTCCACCATGACAACGCTCCGTGTCACACATCTCTTCTGGTATATGGCAATTTCTGTCAAATAAAAACATTACGGTGTGTCCTCATCCACCTTATTCACTGGATCTGGGACCGTGTGACTTCTGGCTCTTCTTCAAAGTCAAAATGACTATGAAAGGTAAATGTTTTTTTAGAATTGATTTAGGACATCGAGGCAACCACAACAGCGCAACTAAAGACACTCATAAAAGAGGACTTCCAGAACTGCTTCAGAAAGTGGCAAGAAAGATGGGATAAGTGTGTTTGAAGTGAGGGAGAATATCTTGAGGGGGATTAATGGCAATGTGTCTTTTACTGGAATTCTTTTTTTTTTTAATTTTTTATTTAAACATTCACCGTATTGTTTGACCACACCTCCTAGATGAGAAACTTTGGGAATCTGTATTCTGGGAGATCAGGTTTTGCAGGGTAGGCAGTGAGTGAGGTCTGGCCCATACGGTATTCCCTTAATCCTGAGTCCTATGGAAACCACAGGCTTTAAATTAAAGCTGCCATGAATTTGTTGTAACAGAAAATTGTGTTCTCTTTAAAACCCATCCAAACCCAGACCGTGACCTGGCCTCAGAAGCTTTTGGCTGTAAGGAAATTGTTGGGCACATAGACGTCCTCATAGCACCTGACTTTCTGTCAGGGCCCTGGGTTGTGCTCTGTCTAGCATGTTGCTAACGTGTGCACTCTCCCAAGCCTTGCCCTCTCAGAGGCCCCCGCACCCTGATCAGGAGAGATACAGATCTCAGGCTTTCTTCTCTCCCACCAGCACCGCTGGGAGCCTCCGTGCGATTCAGAAGATGACACGGGTGCGTGTGGTGGACAACAGCGCCCTGGGGAACACCCCATACCATCGCCCTCCTCGTTGCATCCATGTCTATAACAAGAATGGGGTGGGCAAGGTGGGCGACCGCATACTGCTGGCCATCAAGGGACAGAAGAAAAAGGCACTCATTGTGGGACATCGAATGCCTGGCCCCCGGATGACCCCCAGGTTTGACTCCAACAACGTGGTCCTCATTGAGGATAATGGGAACCCTGTGGGGACCCGAATTAAGACGCCTATCCCCACCAGCCTACGCCAGCGGGAAGGCGAGTTTTCCAAGGTGCTGGCCATTGCTCAGAACTTGGTGTGAGCAGAGGCCAGGCTGTTGGCTGCAGTGGGGCTCGTGAAGGGAGCAGTTCTGAGAAGTGCATCTTTGCTGAAGGGAAGCTTGGGGCCCTGTGGCTGGGGAGCAGTGTCCTGTCAGAAATAAACATTTTCATGTATGTTTTCTTCCTGAGCTTTCCAGAATGTGGGTGTGAGGTAAATGGCACTGAAGCAGTTAAAAGTGGCCATGTGTGGTCACACAAGATGGCAGTCTTTGCGTGGAGTAGCCTCTGAGCTCCCCTAGAAGTATGAGGCTCTGGAAAAGGGAGGTACAGACCAAATGCCCATTTGTAAATGTACAGTGGGATCTATCACTTCTAACCAGGCAAACTTCTTTTTTCTTTACTGACCATGCCCATCCAAAGTATCCTCTCCCTGCATCAGAGGGCTTGAGACATTAAATGGATATGAAGATTACTGGGTTCGCATGAATAAGAGCAGAGGAACTTGTTATACTAATGGAACGTTGCCGTTAGGCCCTGACAGAACCCGGACAATAATCCTTTCCCGGTTGTGGAGTACCATTTGCTAGGGACCAAAGCGCTCCTCTGTGCCCAGAGCAGAACGCTTCCTCCCTTGACTGCTGGGGAAGTGGACCAGCCCCGTTTTGCAGATGACTAATCTTGGGCCTGTGCAGGTGATTCAATGCCCATTTACCTTCCATTTATTAGTATCCTTAGGGAGGTTTGGGGTCTCCTTCAGTTCCTTTGATGGAACCTCATCAGCTCATTTATGAATTCATTCATTTGTTTACAATATCCCAGGCAATTACTTATTAAATATGCCAGTGGCCTTTAAGAGGTAGAGTAGCGTAATGATTAAGAATGAATGCTCTGCTCTATAGCCAGACTACCTGGAGTCTTATCCTGACTCCACCCTTTACCACTTAGTGACTTTGGGCAAGTTATTTGATGTCTCTGTCCCTCAGTTTTCTCACCTGTAAAATGGGAATATAATAATGGCACCTACTTGATAGGGTTGATGTGAGAGTTAAATGAGTTAGTACCTGTAAGTGCCTGGTGATAATAAGCACTTGAGAGGCGTTAGCTATTTTCTATTATTACTGAGCATGTGCCAGTACTGGGAAACAAAGGTGAGTGTAAGCAGATACGGTCCTTGTCCTCATGGAGTTTACAGTGCCCTGGGGAAAATTCACACAAATTATGTAATTAATCAAGTGCAAATCCCCAAGTGGAACGAGAGCCTGTTATAGAGGGGTTAGACCTTTTCAGTGGGGCTGGAGGCAGCTTCCCAGAAAGGGTTGTATCAGTTGCACTCGGAAGAACAAACAGGCATTGTGGTAGACGTCAGAACGGTGGGTACCTGGGGGTGGCAAGGAGCGTGGACTGAAAAGGGGCAAGAGGGAAACTTACCGGGTGTTGGAATTGTTCTCCATCTGGATCTGGGTGGAAATCACATGGGTGTACGAGTATGCGTTTGCGACTAACTATGGAACTGTGTACTTGAGTGCACTTTATGTACTTCATACCTTATAAAAATAAATGGACAGGCATTAGGTAGGGGAGGGAAAACGTTCCAGGCCGAGGGGAGAGCATGTGCAAACACCCAGTGGCAGGAGGCAGCAGGGTAAGCAGCAGGGACTGGAAGAAAAAGCCAGTGTGACGGGAGCATGGTGTAGGGGGAGGCTGGGGGAGGAGCAGGCCTCAGAAGCTCTGGGAAGGAGGTTTCTTTATCTGGGGCATTGGGATATGGTTGTAGGGTATTTAGCAAGCAGGGTCGGGTGGTGGGAGGCTTGGAGACGTGGTTACATTTGCTCTGTGACGAGGGGCTGAGGGAGGCCAGAAGGGATAGGCTTTGCAGGAGGTTATCTGCAAGATGAAGATAGGTTGGGCTAGGTGGTGGCGATGGAAGGGAGTAGAAACCTTTAGGAGGTAGAGTTGGAAGGTACAGTTGACTAGGCTTGGTGGTGAGGGCCAAGGATGGGTCCTAGGTTTCTGGCTTCCATGCCTGTGGAGAGGCCTGGGAGTGGGGGAGGAAAAGCAGTTGGGGCATCTGATTGGAGGCGCCTTTGAGACACCAACAGATGTCTAGTAGGTAGCTGGATATAAATAATCTCTTCAATTGGAATAGCACTTGGTATCTATTTTGAAGGCATGCATGTATACACATATTCTTGGTGTTCCTCACAGCCCTGAGGTTTGGCAGGCACTGGTCCCATTTTTTAGGCGAGGACACCGAGTTTCAGAGGTGACATGATCTCTCAGGGTCCTACAACTAATAGGTGGTAAGGCTGGTGTCAAAGCCAGATCCTGCGACTTCCAACTCAGGTCTTCCTACAGTGTTACGGGGTCTTTTGTGGTTGATGAGTCCTCGCTATCTTGAGTTGATTCTCTCTAGCTGTGATCCTAGAGGAGAATGACCCGATTTCCCCATAGTCAGTGGGTACACTTGGAGCCTCCTGCCTGCTAAACCTTGATTGCAAGGGAAGTGAAAGCTTTTAGTTTTCTGTCTTCCCGGTTGAAGAGCACACTTCCCCCCAGGGCTCCTCTGACTAAGCTGATTCAAAGCACCTCTGGGTATTTTCAGAGCTAATATCCCTCTCCATCTGGCCTCGGGAAGGGCCAGTAGAGTCTGTGGCTGACCTGCCCTGCTGCAGTGGTGACTGGCCAAAAAGAAGGAATCACCCAAGCCAGGCTTGCTTTGCCCGTGGTGGGTCTCTCGCCAGCTGCAGCAGCCCGGTATCCAGCAAGCTCTTAATTTCTCTGTGTTGGGCTGCTTCCCAAAGGCTGCGAGAGGAAGAGACCCCTGTTCTGAGGTAAAGGAAAGGTGGAGTTGGTATCCTCAGCCTGGCCCCGCCAGCTCAGGGGCTGGGCCTTTGCTCTGACCGGGGCAGCTTGACGTGAGCCACCCTCTAACTGCAGGTCACTTGCTTTCTGGGATCGGGCTAACTTCTTCCTCTCCCCTTAATCAGCAGAAAGTGTGTTCATCCCCTCATGAGTTTGCAGGGTACTGGCTGCTCTGCTGAACCCCCTCACCCGCCTCCCAGCTGTGGAAGTTTACCCAAGTCATTCAAATGACTGTCCTTGCTGTCCCCTCTGGTCTTCCCTGGGCTCAAGCACTCCCCCCAAGGTGTTCTTGCCGACTGCTGGAAGGCTGTGGTTTCTACAAAGCTGGTGGCCAGAGCCCACGCTCCGTCCATGACGCAGGCCCTCGCAGCACACAGCCCAGAATAGCCTCAGCTTTGCTGCTTTTCCAGCTGCCCTATCACTTTGCAAACTGGGATCTAATTTGCTGTCCACCCTCCCCACCCCAGTCTCTTAGCCAGTACTGCTTTCTTTGCTCATGAAATATTTATAATCACAGATTATGTTTCCTTATGAGTATAAACTTGCTTTTGTTTTTTTCCCTTCCGTGCTGTAAAGAAGCTGCCCCTAATGGGTCACAGAGCCTCATCTCTCTGAATTCACAGACATCATCACAGTGACTGCTGAAGTGTCCGGCTCCACCCATGGTTTGATTCCCTCTGCCACACCACTGCTGAAGAAATGTGGTGGAAAAGGGCTGGAGATTGGTGGTCGTGGTTGGGACACCTGGGTTCTAGTCAGGCCCATCCTGCTGTGTGACTTCGGGCAGGCCGCAGCCTCTGGGGAGTGGGAGGTGGGGTTGTGTGGAGGCTTGGTACTCAGTGGACCCAGCAATGGGGTGCCTGTGGAGTAGAACAGGCATGGCTCTGGCTGTAGCCCTTGCCCTAGCAACCTTGAAGGGTGTGCCCTTGGCTGCAAATGGGGCCCTGGCCAAAGAATGTGCAGATCATCCTGTCACCATCAACACTCCTGGAAAAACAGTGAGAAGCCAACCACCTCTGGCAGGGGTGGCCAGGCCACTTCCTGGATGACTGGCAGCTCCCTCCTGGAACTCTCAAGCTCAGCCTGGCTTTAGCAGGGCAGCTGAGGGCATTGAGAGAGCTCACGGTTAGCCAGCAGTCATCTGAGGCACGCCTCCTTCCAAGTCACGGGGAGGGGAGCCCCTCCCTCAGCAGGGTAAGAACCCTCAGGCAGGCTGGGGCCTGTGCGGGTCTGGGGGCCTGCTGCTTCACTCTGGCCTCACCTGGGCACAGCCTCCCCGACTGCCCTGTTCTATGCTCTCCTTGCTTTTTTGGCTTCTCATGTTCTTTTATTTTTTTTTATTGGAGAACAGCCATGGTCATTGGTTGCACATTGCTTTCATGCTACAATGGCATAGTTGACTCTTTTTTAGGAAGGACATAGCTCACAGTGGCCCATGTGGGGATTGAACCGGTAACCTTGGTGTTATCAACACTGCACTCTAACCAACTGAACTAACCAGTCACTCCTTCTCATGTTCTGTTGTGTTCTTTGGGAATTCTTGTTTTTGACAAAAACTGCATGATTGGAATTAAATACTTAACTGAAATTCAAATCTGCCCTAGCCGCTTGCATTTCTTTCCTTTAATTTTGTAATTCAATCTTTAACAAAAAGTTTCGGGATTTTGTTTTATTCTTTCCCACCTGGAGGATGGCTATAGATCACAGTTCAGTTCCCGTCAGCATTTTGGACAGTTGCTGAATTGTTAATAGTTTCCCAAAGTACTTGGGCTTCCTAGACTCAAAGTGGTCATCAGTTTGATTCTAAACTTTCAGCATCAAGCCATTTTCTTTATGATTTTTTAAAGCTGGTGGTTTCCAGCCAGATTCAGTAATAGTGATAATCTGTTGTTATTTGCTTGATATTATGATAGGCTATCTGATAAAACATATCACAGCATTTTTTAAAAATGAAAGTGAGGGGCCAGCCGAGTGGTTCAGTTGGTTAAGAGCTGTGAGCTCTGAGCACACAACAGGGTCGCTGGTTCGATTCCCACATGGGCCAATGAGCTGCACCTGAGCTGAGCTGCACCTGAGCTGCCAACAGGTGGCAGGATGGCTCAGCTGGTGAGAGCACGTGCTCCTAACAACAAGGTTGCTGGCTCCATTCCTGCATGGGATCGTGGGCTATGCCCACCTACAACTAAGATTGAACACTGCATCTTGAGCTGAGCTGCCGCCGGGCAGCCGGATGGCGACTGGACTTGGAGCTGCAACTAAGATTGAAGGACAACAACTTGGCTATTTTCCTTCTCCAATTCCCCAACACTGTTCCCCTTCCCCAATT